ACACTCGCCTGCGGGGGGAGCATTGCACACGCCGTGTCGGGAGGGTCATTACGGACTGCTCACTCCGGAGTCTCCACGCTGGCCGACTCCGAAGGCTGCTGCCGCCGGAGCCTCTTCCCGGCAGCGGCCACAAGCCAGAAGTTTGGGAAAGGGAGAGAGGGAGAAGGCAGTTCTCACTCTCCCTGTCCCAGCACAGCCCTTCCCAACACAGAAGAGGTGATATTGGACCCTATTGATGAAAAGCTTACTATATTTATCGGTTTTAAATATATTATTGTGTGGGACCTACATGTTTTCTTAATCAAAACCTGTGCACTCTTCAAAAGCAAAGGAAATGGCACAAAGTGGAGATGGCTGCAGTGCCTGAGCCCCTGCTGCTCTAAGCTTGTATTGCAGAGAGCAGGACTTCACTTTTTCCCCATCCTCTCCTGGCTCTGGGCTCTTCTCTCAGGAAAACATGTTTGGCTGCCTTTCCTCCTCCAGACCCAGCTGACCTCATTATTCTCTTAATTCTTGGTGACTTTGATCATTCAAGCTCTGACATTTCTAATGACCTCACTTTTCCTCCACTACTCAATACTCCAGAGTGTTTCCATATGAGAGCAATTATTGTCATCTTCTAGTATGACCCTTTATATAATCCGGAAAGATCTTAAGGCTTGTGATATTTCCCTTTTGACTTAGGCACGTCCACTGCTACAGAGTTCCGTTTCTGATAAAAATAAGTCAAAAATATTTTAGATGGAAGGTAATTAATTTTTGCAGTGACTTCCACAAGACTGTGGCAATCCTTTGGTCACTGATCCACTTTGGTCTATTAGCTTAAGGAGCTGTCCTGAGCTCAATTTCCTTAATCGTTGGATTTGTAAATTTGGGATTTAATTTTTTTCTTTGAAAAGCTGGTCTTTGAATTTCCCAGTGAAATCCTGTTTCTAATCCTTCACCTTATGGATTTTCTTGTGTTGTCCAATTTTCCAAAATTATTCCCAAACTGCGGATGCTAGAGTTCAATGCAGTGTTTTAGCACTAATTTGCAAGTATCAGTATAGATGCAGTGTAACTTTACTACTAATTCTCTGTTCACTTATTTATATGTTCAAGATTAGAGCCAATTTCATTACAATATGTCTCCAGGACATGTAGTCAGTATGTTATAGTGTATAAACATAAAATTTTAAGTGCTAAAAGCAGCTGATGTATAAGCCAGCTTTAAAAGCTTTCTTACTATTCCAAAAGAAAATTTCTACTTAGTATTTATGTGAAAAATGTAAATTAAGCTAGCAGTATTAGTCAGAATTTTAGGAATTTTATACCCACGCTACTTAGCCAGGACTTTCATTCTTTTTCTTTAATGTACCCAAGAGACATTTGTGAAAAATGCTGCCCAATATTTATTTTCTAAGTACAGGACAATAAAGCCTGTTGAAGTATGAAAACATGTAAAAAGCACTGGAAAGAGCACAGAAAAAGCTGGCAAATTCCAGAAAATAATACATCTTCTTTATAACCATTGTCCTGAGTACATTATAAAACTCAGCAGCAAACACATGATGTTACAGCAATGCATCCTACCTAGCAAACAGTTTCCTGCCCTTGCAAAGGAGGATTTCTGTGAACACACAAATACACATGTGCATCCTCCACGGAAAAGGGAGATGACAACTCAAAGTTATTAAAGTGAAAATTATTACTTATTTTTAATAAAATGGACAAACAATTGAAACTGAAATAAAGCTCCCCTGAGAGCCTTAGCAAGGCAGACGCCGTGTCTGAGGGCGCCCAGGACTCGGCAGACAGACTGACCAGACGTTTGAATGCGAGAGCGGCTTTTGCCGTTTTGCTGTCAGTGCCACAGGAAGAGTTGGACAGCGGGAAGCTCCAATCCCCTGCGGGTCTGGGCTGAGCACAAATGGCTCCAGCCCGAACTGCGGCTGGGGCGATGCATGGAGTGGGCTGAGCTCAGCATCTGGGGTGTGCGGGGCACACGGAGCACATGGAGCGCATGGGGCATGTGGAGCGCGTGGGGCACAGAGCACACGGGGCACACTCACCGTTGTGGGCGCATGGGGCACGGAGCATGCAGGGCACATGGAGAGCGTGGGACACGGGGCACACAGAGCACATGGGGCACGGAGCATGCAGGGCACATGGAGAGCGTGGGACACGGGGCACACAGAGCACATGGGGCACACTCACCATTGTGGGTGCACGGGGCACATGAGCACATGGGCACATGGAGCACACTCACTGCCACGGGCATGCGGGGCACACGGAGCATGCGGGGCGCACGGAGCATGCGGGGCACACGGAGCACATAGGCACGCGGGGCACACAGAGCACACTCACTGCTGTGGGCACATGGAGCACACAGAGCACACTCACTGCTGTGGCACACAGGGCACACGGAGCACATGGGCACACGGAGCACACTCACCGCTGCAGGCACGCGCAGCACACAGAGTACACTCATCGCCATGGGCATGCGGGGCACACTCACTGCTGTGGGCATGCGGAGCACGCTCACCGTCACCGGCATGCAGAGCACACGGAGCACACTCATCGCCGTGGGCGCGCGGGGCACACTCACCACCGCGGCATGCAGAGCACACGGAGCACACTCATCGCCGTGGGCGCGCGGGGCACACTCACCACCGCGGCATGCAGAGCACACGGAGCACACTCATCGCCGTGGGCGCGCGGGGCACACTCACC